TTTCAGGGAAAAAATGACATATCAGTTTGCTTGAGTGTAAGAATAATGGTCTGGAAAAACAAATAAATTAAAAAGCAAAACGTTGTCGTAAATGGACGTAAGAGACTACTAAAATCAGAGGAACAAACATCGTTAATAGCCTGTGAAGATTGATGTATTGGCTGATTACAAAAAAAAAACAAAACAAAACAAAACAAAAAACACAACCGGGCCCCTAATAACCTAAAACCAGTATGCATATTCTCCATACTGTTCTTTATACGTTTCCTAAGGCGCTGACAAAGAGAATTTACTTAGCAGTCAAGAGCTTCTGTAGTTGTTGATCATTTCCATTATTCTCCGTCCTGACCTTTATGTGTGATTCAGAGGTGACAGGCTATTTCATGATTTTTAAAATGATGGGATTTCGTGTGCCTGCTCCCGAGTGGATTTTACATTTGTAATCTAAGCCACTTGCAAATGATAACATTAACTCGAAGAAAACACTAGTACTATACAAAACTCGTGTGTCACAAACCTGCGAGGTAACCCTTTCACTCCATGGATTTGAAATTCAGTTAATTCTCCTAACTAATGCAATTAATTCTTTGTTGGCTATTCCTGAGAATTGGCGGTTTTATTTCAACAAATATCTCCCTATTCACAATTATCTTCACTTAAATTACCTACACTGTGTGTTTGTTTTTTCAGAAAGACGGTGTATTTCCTGGGATTTTCCAGTGCTCAAAATTTAATATGGCCGAGACACCGTAGCCGCCATCTTGAATTTCAAAGGAAAACACGTGAACATAACTTTTTTTCAAGCAAATTCAGCAGTACGTCGACTGATTTAAGGTTGATCTCCGATATTGGCTAGAAATCACTAAAGCGATCGGTTAACTCAAAAATTCGATCAGAAATGCGTTTTACAGACGAAACCGTGAGAATCCTTTCATTAAACACTCAGTGGTCATACAAGTAATGAATAAATTATGTTGATCAAGTGACTTAGCAAACACGAGATTACAATCTTAATGAAAAACTTGAAAAAAGGCCAAGCGATATTTGATTCATTTAACTCAAAGCAAATATACTATTATAGCAGAAGATTCTGAAGTTTAACTCTTAGACGACCAGAGATCGATAGCGATTCCTTTTAATTTGTAAAAAAGCGTTTTTTCTAAAACAAACTGACTTTGTCATATTTTTTTGAACGACAGCCAAAGTAATTCCCTTCTCCTCATTAAATTCAGCGCGATAATTCATTGTCATAATTCTAACTGCACTAAGACGAATGATGGCAAACAGGAAATTGACTTTAGCTGATTGATAAATAAGTGTCGTTCTACGACCAATAGAAAACATCAGAGATCTGTAGCTCATTAAATTGATTACGTCTTATAGCCCATGATGAGTTTTATCTGTGGAAGGAATATATAACAGTACTTACGGGAATGAAACACAGTACCGGCAATCTAACAGCATTACTTGCGAAACGTTTACAGCACTGAGACAAAGCTGGGAAATCTCTTTTACGTTCCCCGCAATGGAAACAAACATTTGCTTCAACAGAGAAGTTAATTTGCATTTGATATTTGGAATGTTATACTTCCTTGCTTCTCTAACAGCGTCGATTGGAAATGGGTTCATGCTCTACATCGCAAGAAGAGATCCACTGAAACTTTTTAACAAACCCACAAACGTACTCAACGTTTCTATTGGGTTAAACCATCTTTTCGCAGGTATTTTTGTCCTCCCACTCCTTGGAATCAACAGCGTTTTGCGGAGTCAGGAGTTAGTGAATGAAGTAGCTGAGCAGTTCCAAGATGTCTTGATTCATTTTGTTGTCACAACTTCCTCTTTGTTGCTTCTGGTTCTTTTTTTTGAGCGTTACACAGCATTTGTGTATCCTCTTCTGAATCGTAGACACGCTACAATTGAACGAGTGAACCGAATTTGCTCCCTAGTGGCTGCAACCTGTTTTGTCTTCTCCTGTATTTTGTTCACTGGCGTCTCCAAAAATATATTTTACGTCATAACTCTTTCCGTATTCATACTGTTACCTTGCATGGGAATGAAAGTTATGTTGGCAATCAGCTTTTGCTTGTTAAGGCGTCGAACCCGGGTTGCCCAAGACATCACACATGATTCACAGATACGTGTTATGAACCCAAACAAGTCAAAACGAAATTTACAACTGCGGCAGTACTTGAAAGCAGCAACGAAAGGAACAGTTGCGGCAGTACTGCCCATGGTCTTTTACTGTCTCGTAAAGATTTTAGGTTATACTAAAATAGAATTTTCCACAACATCATGTTACGACCTTCTAGAACACATGTCATTTGCAGCTGTTTTTTTATCAACAGTAATGAATCCTGTCGTTGTTTTCCTTAAAATTCCCGTGTATAAGCGTTCAATGAGGCATCTTTGGGATCGAAGAAAAAAAGGCCTTCGTTAGGAAGTTAACTATCAGACATTTAGTTTCACCGAACGCGATAAAGATAGCTAAGATTACCATATTATTGGAGAAGGGGTGAGCTGGTTCGAGAGGGAAGTATGGTTATGATAGGTGGGAGGGGGGATCAGAACTCCCCGGTACCCCCGGTTCCCCCCCCTCTCCTCCTTGATCTGCCGCTGGGAACAAAGAGACTGTAGCAAAACCGACTACGTAGATGGAATGTCAGTCTGCCAGCACACTTGAGATATCAATGTATTTATTTTGGATAAAGCGTTTAAACTCTTAGATTGATTAATTTTGTGTCTGAAAATCAAATGTGTGAATAAAAAAATTGAATCTGAAACGGAGCTTATTTTGCTGATTGTCAGTTCTTCTCTCGCCGTTTACACACCTGCCAGTCGCAGCCTCAGCACAGCTGCATTTTCACAGCTAGAGGGGATGTTTGACCTACGTCGGACATTACCAAACAACTCAAGGAAAATTTTTAAGGTGTGCAGATAATCAAGCTTAAATTTGAAAGGCTAGTTATTTTAAATGAAAAATCATAAGACAAAGGAAATGAACTGAAAAACGCCATGCATGAACCGTTTCTCTGTAAAAGGAAATAACTTATCTGCCTTGAACCTGAAATTGCCATCAAGGTTTAAAAGAAAATTACAGGAAGGCTAAAAGAGGATTAAGATTTCAATGACGTTCTGGAAGACCTCATCGGACCAGGAAATTACTCTCTGTCTTCATTGAGCAAGCTAGTATCTTATCTGAAAGCTATATGTTGAAGTCAAACAGTTTTTAAATATTCTCATTCAAGACGCATTTTAACACGTAACTCGTCCTTAAAAAAGAAAGGTGTTTTTATATTTTATTATTTTTTTTTTAATCCTGCAATTTATCTTAAAGAAAAATTATCTCCATTTCAAAGGATATCACGATAAAGTATTAATTACCGAAATTTCAACTCAATATATCTCATGGAATTGTAAAAATGACGATGTCACCTTTTTATCAATGAAGATATAAATAAGAAATAATTCTAGCTATCCCGCGGCAAAATGGGAAAATAAGATTTTCTTCACTTTTTCTCTCACAGGGTAGAATTTTATTGCCGGAAAAACGGCACTAAAATTCTCCCTCGTGAGTTATACTAGGGCGCCTTCAAATCCACCGTGAAGTGAGCTCACGCGGAGCTAAAGGAGCAGGGTTCACGTTATTTTGCGTGAAACGTGAAAGGGCAAGCTGATATTTGCCATTTCACGTAATCGCGGTGCTAAATCTCTCGAATATAACATCACTTACCCTTCGAGTTTGTGGTCAGCGGCTCCCCCAGTCTGCTTTCTTTATCCAGGCTTGGAACTGGCAGAATATCCTGACGGCAAAGGATTACCAAGAACAGTTAAAACCTCTATTTACGTATTCCTTCTCACATATTCAGTACACAATCAAATTTTCTGGTAGTAAGAAAATAGAAAATCATCAATTAGGGCATAGTGTCTGTACGCAGGCTTGTGCTAGGCAAGAATATGTGTAGTCGACAGGTATTTGACTAGAAGAGCCCCTCTTCTCTTCTTAATTTTGTTAAGTCTTCAGTTAATGTGTCAGGCTTCGGTGTGCCAGTGATTCTCCTGCACAATATTAAACCAAAATGACACACTTAACATGAAATTTATTTTCAGAATAGAACACTTTACGGCCTGTATCTTTTTAAATAATAATACTTTTATTAAACTTTTTTAAAAAAATATGTACATAATTAACAGAAAAACTTTAAAATGAGAAGCACTGTATACGGTGAAGAATGTTATGACTCATAAAAACATACAGGCACTTTGTCAATAACGATTTCCCATTTCTCTTTACAACCTGTATTGTTATCGTGCAAAAACATGAGCAAGTCTTAGATCGAATCGTTTTTAAGAGCGAGAGAGTCGCTGAGCGTTGTGCCCGAAACTTTCCCGAGCCGCAGGGAGCCGGGGAAAAGTTCCCCATACTTACACAAGACTTTGATTTTAGGTTCCACGATGACTTTTCTTCGTAAAGTAGGTGGGTAACTCGTTCACAGTGAACTATTTATGTACAGATCTACATTCAGAAGGACTCCATGTGTTCTGTAAATATCTTGTCATTATTTCACCAAGAATCACTCATAATTCATTCATAACACTTTCATTGTACGTGGATAATGCGAAAGTTCATTGTTGTTTATGCAATATGAGTGCGTTTGTGTCCGGTTTTCAGCATTCACCCACGAGGGCATCGTTGTGCATTGTGCAATTCTTTCGGGCGAAAAGGGCATCGTACCACACAAAGTCTACAGGTGCTTGTACGCCTATGGCTTCTCAGGGACCAAAAATGCTTTAAATGACTCGAGCAAACGCTTTTGAAAAACATGGTGTTATGTCGAAATACTTCTGAGGAAGGGCAATCCGCCAAGCAAGCCGTTCACTCAACGCGCGGACTGTCTTATACTTTTTTCTTAGACCCCATTCACAAAAAAGCTTAAATATGCTTTAGTGCTGTTTTCTTGAATCCTATCATGAGAAAATTCAATTTTCAGTTCTCTGTTCTGCTCTTCATTCAGTTAAATTCAGTTTAGCTAAACATGTTATACTGGTGTGAACGAGCTTTGAAACCTCTTGACGATAATGCTTGTTTATTTTCTCGGAATTTTAGTAAAAAGAGAATAAGTGGAAATTTCAAATTTACCGGGAAGATGCACGAGGCCGCGGCACTAAGGACCTAATCAAGTTTCAATGGCATAACGTAACTATCCGACTCCCTATCCTGGAAATTACTCTATACGCGCTATCAACCAAGTGTGAGGTCAAGATAGCTGGATACTGGCCGAGTTCTTTTTTTTCCATTTTTATGGACCGAGACGAAGTCATCTTGACTGAACAAGCTTGGTTAAAAAAGGATTTATTATATTGCAAAAAGATTTTGCTTTATTAAGAATGACTTGTTTACTTCGAGAGCCAGGAAAGAAAGTCAACTGTGTTTGTAGCACAACAAACTCACGAGATTCGTTTCTGTTTTCTTTGTTTTGACTATCTTCTGTCTAAGAATTACGAACGTAGTTCTAATTCAATTTTCTTCATCCGCGGGATCAATGCGGGCAATCCCGAGCGGGCAAGGTGGGCCTATCTTACCTGCTCGGGTAGCCAATCAGAACACAGGATTCCCTTCATCTTGCCCAAGGGCGCTACGAGCACTGTATTAAAGTCCATATTACTACCCATCCCCCAGCAATTTATCTCGCTTCCGTGACAGTAAGCTAGTACCTGTGCCACTAATACTCTTTGTAAAGGGGGGAATATCCCAACGCAATCTGGAGTCCAGAGCATAAGCTACTATCCCCTTTCTTCTCCTTTGAAATTCAAAAAGCCCTCACGGAAGTTTGCCAGTACCCATTTTCATTTCCGGAGGAGAGAGAGGTGCTGTTAGAGTAAAGAATCTTGCTCTTGAACACAACAAAATGACTCAGCTAGGGTTAGAACCAAGACCTCCAACTGTTAAGCCCCTGCACAAAAGCGACTGGACCAACACTTCTGAGAAAAAAATACACTGTAACAAATGAAATGTCCACAAGATATCCCAATATGTCCATTTAATGATGTACATGTAACATAAATGTCTTAATGAATGCTTCTTTTTTCTTTAAAATTTAACTCTTAATAGAATTTAATTCTCAACAGAGAAAGACCGTTGATAGAATACGCTGAATAGCACCAGTGGCTTTGTTTCAATTCAACATGCACTACTCGACTGGCAAAAATAGTATTCTGAATTATCTGAACTCTCTCAAAACTTGTAAAGATAAATTGTGCAAACAATGCCTTGCATAAACACAGTTTTCAGGAAATTAATTGCTGTTTTGCTTGAGAATATTTGAATAGTCTAAAATGTTCCTTTTTCTTGTTTATAAACGTGCGGCGAAATAACAATTTACAAAATGAAATCAAAAGCAGAAAAGGAAGCTATGCTTACATGCCTAAATAACTTGGCCACTTCTTAGAGAGCTCCAGTCATATTTATGTAAAGAGAACTCTTGTTTTCCCAAGAATTCATGTCAAATGTTACAAAGACTTTAAGATGGATAATACTAAGTGATAGTCACTGTAAAGGCATAACTGTTATCTACAAATATGCGAAGCAACTTCTATCTTAATTCAATTAATTGGACTGATCAACAACATGTATTATATGAAATATAAATTACGAGGGTAAATATTTCCATATTTCAAGGTTAATTTACATGCAGAGCTCTTAGAGGCCACTGATCTGAAACATTAGTTTCTATTAACTACAAATAACTATTTTGCTTATTTATATGCCATCAAGATTTTGGGAATAAAATATTTCTGTTCATATTTTACAGGGATATATTAAATGACAATTTAACTTGGACGTGGCCGTTTGGCTTCTGGCTCCAAAGACCCTGTAACCAATGGGCGTGTAGTGCTAGAGGAAGTACTTGAACCAGTGGCCTGGGTACCATCTACTGGAGAAAAAAAATTATTAGAATTGTTTAACTACATAATTAAATATTCTCAAAATATTTTGTTTTAGTAAATAGTTTACTAGCCTTAATATTCTAAGTTACACTAATCATTAAATATTCTCAGATATAGGTGCATGCCACTTAGGTAGATAGACTATTAGATGTAAAAGAATGTTTATTTCCTTCTCATTTCTTCAAGTCTCAATCTATAAAAATATTTCAAATCATGCACTCACATGATTTCAGAATGATTTTCATGAGATCTGGACAGAATTTACTACATCTCATGAAGACATAGAACCATGTGTGAAAAAGTGAGTGAAACTGGGTTTTAAACAGTATTGGGGAGCAGGGATGGCACAGTGGTGAGAGCACTCGCCTCCCACCACTGTGGCCCGGGTTCGATTTCCGGACCTGGCGTCACATGTGGGTTGAGTTTGTTGTTGGTTCTCGTCCTTGCTCCGAGGGTTTTTCTCCAGGTCCTCCGGTTTTCCTCCCTCCGCAAAAACCAACATTCCAAATTCCAATTCAATCTGGAAACAGTGGACAAGAAGAGCCACCCAGTGGAATGTCTATTGCTAAATTATTTATTATTATTATTATTTTATTTATTATTATTTTATTACGAATATAACTGAATAACATTTGCAAGAACAAAAGGGGGTTTCACAAAACACTCAGAATGATTACGAAGAACTTACAGTTTAAGGGGCAGTCAGGCTGTTCTGATAGGAGACTATTCTCCACTGAATCAAGTCCCATAGACAGTGCTGACCCAA